ATTTGGCAATGGGAATGAGTCTTTCAGGCACGCCTTATTAAGATCCTTATAATCTACGTACATGCAAAATTTATTGTTTTTCTTAGGAACTACTACTACATTGGCTAACCAATTCGGATATCTTACCTCTCGGATTGAACCAATATTAAGTAAACAGGTTACCTCTTCTCTGACGAATTTATTCCTTGCTTCAGCAATAGGGCGCTTCGTTTGCCTTACCGGAGGTATGTTAGGATCCAAGCTTAACGTTTGTACGGCTACCCCTATCGGGATTCCTGTCATATCCTCGTGCGACCATGCAAAACAATCAGCGTCAATTTTAAGGAATTCGATAAAAGCAGACCTGAGCTCCGGGTGCAATCATGTTCCCAAATGGAATTTCCTTTCTATGAATTCTTCCAAACAATGCAACTTGCTCCAGTTCTTTTGCCGTGGACTTCGTCGCGTCCGTCTCTTCTGGTACTTGAAAATACCTTGGTACCTTGTATTTTTCCAACTCTTTTATCCCCGGGTTAACTTCATCTGGTTCGGGGGTAGGTGCCGATTCCGGTAATTGCTATGCCGCATGTTCCTTTCCTTTGCTACTGGAGACTGAAATTGCATTCATCTCTCTTGCTACCAGTTGATCACCCCTTATCTGTTTGATCCCCTCGGGTGTCAAAAACTTTAACAATTGGTGATATGTTAAAGGCACAGCTTTCATGTCGTACAGTCATGGTCTTCCCAAGATGATGTTATACCCCAAGTCTCCATCTACCACTTCGAAGAGAGTTATCTTCATTACTCCCTCAGCATTCGTGAGTAGCAAAATTTCTCCTCGGGTTGTCACGCTTGCGAGATTGAATCCAGCGAGGTGTTTCATTGGTGGGATAATTCTTCCAGTGAGTTTAGTTTGCTCTAGTACTCTCCATTGTACGATATTAGCTGAACTTCCTGGATCCACTAAAACACGTTTAGTTTTTAAATCTAACACATTTAAAGAAATTACCAGTGCGTTATTATGCGGTAGCAGTAATCCATCTGCATCTTCGTCCGTAAGTGTGATATCGTCTTCCCGGAGCCTTTTACTATGAATTATCGATACTTTTGTCTTCTTCGTTGCCGAAAAGGTGACCCCGTTAATTTCATTTCCACCGAAGATCATGTTGATTGTTTGGCGTAGGGGTTCTTCTCCTGCTTTCGAAGTTTCCGCGTCGCCCCTGTTCCGATCATAATTGTTTTTAGCTCGGTCACTGAGAATTCTCTGAGGTGACCATTCTTTAACAGTGTTGCCACTTCTTCCTGGAGGTGTCAGCAGTCCCCAGTCCGGTGGCCGTTAGTGCCATGGTATTCACACCATAAATTGGGATACCTCTGGCTGGAATCAGATTTCATAGGTCTTGGGAATCGTGCCCCTTTGATATTTCTCATGGTTGATACTAACTCCACCGCACTGACGTTGAAGTTATACTCCGACAACTTTGGGTAAGAAGAATCTCGCGACCCCGAGATTTCTCTATCCTATAGCGATCTGTTGTTCCGGCCACGATCGGTCCTTCTATCAATGGTGAACTTGTCCGCTATCCGGAATCTCCTGCCACAACCTTTTGTCCGTTCGTAGGGCAAAAACTGGCCCCTCAAAGTCAGTATATCCGTGTTAATATCATCTTTCATTTTTTCTCTATTCTTCTCCCGTCCTTTGGTTGACAATGGAAAGCCAACCTGATCGTATTCGATCCTTATTTTTGACTCGTATCGGTTGTGGACATCCGCCCAAATCGTCGCCTGAAACTCGAGCAGATTTTCCTTCAACTTCCGAGAAGCGTCTGAACTTCTCGGATTTAAACCTTTGGTGAATGCTTCAGCCGCCCATTCATCCGGGACTGCTGGAAGTAACATCCTTTCCTTCTGGAATCGGGTAACGAACTCTCATAATAATTCGGATTCTCCCTGCGCGATCCTGAATATGTCGGCCTTACGGTCTTGTACCTTTCTGGCACTGGCATGAGTTTTGACGAAAGAATCTGCGAGCATCTCAAAGGACTCTATGGAATGCTCGGGAAATAATGAATACCACGTTAAAGCTCCCCTCGTGAGAGTCTCACCAAATTTTTTCAGCAACACACACTCAATTTTGTGAGGAGCCAAATCATTTCCTTTTGCTGTTGTTGTGTAGGTGGTAATGTGCTCCTGTGGATCTAAAGTTCCGGCATACTTTGGCACTTCGGGTATTTTGAACCACTTCGGGATTCATTCCGGGGCTGCACTCCGTTTATAAGGTAATTGAATATACTTCTTCGAGTTTGGGCCTTTTAATACTGGTGGTGCCCCCGGGATTTGATCCATGTGGGTATTTACTTCCCTCTAAATCGCAAAAGTTCATCCTTGAACGGATCGTTCTCGTTGTTGAGGTCTGATCGACTCCCCCATCCCCGTCGGAGCCAACTACGCCCCTAGGAGTGTTATTATCAACTCTCTGCGTCGTCTGGTTCGTGAGAACATCAGGAGGAACTGGATCTCGCCTGTTTGCATTATTTGAGACACCCGATAGCGCCTGCTTCAGTTCCGTCATAACCTGATCCTATCGCGTGAGATGGCCTAGAATGATTGCATGTTGCTCTTACAGGACCCTTACTACATCTGCCACATGCCCCTCATCAGCATCATCAGGAGTTGCCTCCCGAACCTATCGAGGGTACCGCGTGTCATGTACCGGTGTGGCGTTGTTCCCCTCATTGCGAGTGTCACTAATTGAATCCTAGAAATGAGATTGTTCCCCTTGAATTTTAGAGTTGTGTGTACCATTAATAGTGTTATCTTCCATTTCTTTTGTGATTGCTAAGACAAAATAATCAAACACGTTAGTAAAAAAGGCAAGGATCAATTTAATTTATGGTTGTCTAGGATCCACGGTGGACGCCAAACTGTTTACCCGTAAAACGGTACAGTTGAATTTATTCGGGGTTTCTAGACAAGTGAATTAATTTGATCCAAAAGATAATAAAATAACCGATGAAATATAAAATACTTAGCCTTAGAATGTAGATAGAACGACAGAGCTAATGAGTCCGGGAACAGAATTTTCGGGCACAACAATGATAAGATAAAAGGCGATAAAGTAAAATTGTATTAAAATGTTGTATAGAATGTAGTGTAAGCTAGCGAGAAAATTTTTCTCCTTACAATGACAACAGAGCTCACTATTTATAGCTACGTCTAGGAAAGGAGATCCTAGGATCATGTCATTCTTTAATGTCAATTATAAGGGTCATTGACGAAGATGTAACGTTAGACATAAATGCCAAATTCCTTGTAACGGGCCATCATCTTTAATGCTGCAAAATATTATGTATTAAATGTTACCGGGCGCAAAGAATGTAATACTCATTTTATGATCGTTATTCCTTCCGGTGACAAGCGGAATAGCTATGTTCGGTGGCCATCCCTATCTTCTGTTCCACGTGTCCTTCCTTTAAGCGGCCACGTGTCATGTCGTATTTTTCCCTGTACAAGGAGGAGGAGGAGGGAAACCCGAGAAGAGGCTAGAAAAAAAGTTTGTGTGACGTCGGGTATAAAGTGGCCAATTGTTCCGGATGGAGGCGTAAAGGAGTTGATACTGTTAGGAGGAGGAGGAGGACGATGTTTGGCCGGTTCTTGTGTGTTTGATCCGTCACGCAATCTTTTTGGACACTTAGATCTTACTATTTTGCCGGCTGGCGCTAATGTTTTGCAGGATCGCAAAGAGTTCGTCCCATTTTGGGCCTCATACATCCGTCAGGTTCATCTATCCGAGGTTTGCTTCCTTTGAATTCTCCTTTTTTATTTTTCATTGTATTATGATCCCTCTCCTTTCTTCGCTTTGGATAGTTTACTTCGCTGTTGGCTTGTTTAACAGTCTTTTGACATTGATGTCCACCCTGGTTTGTCTCCTGCTGCTCGAGTAACTCCATATCTGGATTTCACTTACCAGTTCGAGTCACTGATGGAACTGGCTAGCCATGCTATCAGCGAATATAATGAAAAGGAGTGCAATGTATGTATGCACCTTAATTTGCTTTTTGTGATTAGTCCCCGACTATCCTTCCTTTAGTGATAGTGACTCTCTTTTCAGGTTTACAAATACAAGGTCTTGAAGATTGAGAAAGTGAATACTCTTCAGACGGCATACTACTGTTATTACATGACTGTGGAAGTCTTATATCTCACTCTAGCTACTCCTATCGAAACTTTCCAAATCGATGCTGCCAAACATGTATTCAATCATAATATAGTTATCCTTTGTTGCCGGCCTAAAGAAGAGGTAATCACCTAATGAGGTTTACAATTTGCTGCTTTTATTTTTCTTCTGTATGTGTGGGTGTGTTAGGTGAAATAGGTCATTACTTAACGGTACTGATATATTTCCTGATTCTTGTGATGCTGCTATTATTTCTGTGGTTTATGTTGATGGTACTGATATATTGTCTCTTTTCGTCTTCTTGAGCCAATCTATCGGAAACAGCCTCTATACTCCCTCGAGATATAGGGGTAAGGTACACACTACCCTCCCCAGACCCCATTTGTAGGATTTTACTCGTTGTTGTTGCTTAGTCCCAGAAGGAGTTGTAAGTTTTTGTTCTTCTTTCTGGTCTTTTGGGTGGTGGTATCACCAATTTATGTTGTAATTTGAGGTAAGGCCTCTGTTCGTTTTTACTAATACAACACCACCTAGATATGCATCTGGGTAACATCATTATTAAGAAAATAAAAAAGCGATCAATTGTTCAAAGTACATCTCAAATACGTTAAACATGGCATAGCATAGTGAAAATCATGCTTGTTAGTTTAATAATTTGACGAAGTGGTAGTCTATATTTAAAAGTAAACTAGATGTTGGGAGAAGTTCATTTATCTTCTTGTGTTTTTCATTAAAAAGGATGTACTAACTTTTTTAAGAGGAAGAACGTCTTCTCTTTGGGACAAAGAATAATCACTTTCAACGCCATACCGCACAATTTCGAACTAGCATTATTACGAATACCTAATGTAAGATGAATAATACTATTAGTAAGTCTCTAAGTATAATCCAAAAAGAGGTTTCTCAAAATAAAGTACAAACATTCACAAACTAAAAACAAAATTTGAAACAAAAAATGAAGAAGAAGAAAGTTCTCTAAAACCTGCAAATTAAGCTAGAATACATGGTTTCTCTGCTTCAGCTTCTTCCATTCCAGCCATTGTGTCATATAATGGTCTGTTTAAGGTTTCAGGCAAGTACATTACCAGTAACCCTCCAGCTATTCCACATGCTCCAAACACTGCAAATGGTATGCCACCCCCTAAAACAACCACAAGGGGTGCCAAAATTGCCCCCATTTGCGACGCCTGAGTTGCACATCCTAATGCTGCATTTCTCACCACAGTTGGAAACAACTCCATCGAATACACGAACAACAAATTGTAACTCCCAGCCATACCAAATATACCTAAAACTCCACAAACCATTCGAACAATTTTCCACGCTCCGTAACCTTTCATCAAGCTTCCTGCCAAGCAAAAAGCTCCACTGAACCACATTGTCCATATTGCTAATGGCTTTCTACCGAGCCTGTCCAAAACTAATGCGGTTATAAGATAGGCAGGCATTTCAGCCACTGCGTTAAGAGCAACGTTCAGGTAGAGATTGGTTCCAAGGTTGACAGCATTCAAACTCAACCCGTAATAGACAACGGAACAGAAGAAGTTAATAGCCACAGCTAAGAACAACCGAAATCGCGTTAGAGGAAACCTTAGTACATCTAAAAGGGATCCGTTTAACGCTTCTTTGGTATCGGGTTCCAGCTTTGATTCGGATTGAGAATGAGGAGCATCATCATTATTCACTTCACTGTCGAGTGCAAGAAGAACTCCATCAGGAAGGTGTTTTCCATTTGATATGGCGATTTTATGCATGATCTTCATGGCTTCATCTACCTTTCCTCTAACGAGGCACCAGCGAGGTGACTCGTGGAGGAAAGGAAGTACGAGGATAACGAACAGAACAGATGGGACTGAAGAAGCAATGTAAAGAGAGCGCCACGACTGGAAGAAATAAGCAATGGCAGAGAGAGCGGCTATCCCAGTAGAGAAAAAATAGAACGTGGACATTCCTGCTACGCCGCGCCAGGACTGGCCAACGGGTTCAGTGGCAAGAACAAAAGAACAAAGGCCAGTGCCGCCGGTGCTGAAACCGGAAAGAAAACGGAATAAGGTATAGGTCCAGTAGTCCGAAGAGAATGCTGTTATACAACCAAAGATGGCGTTTAAGATGCAAACAATTGTGAGGGAGCCTTTCCTTCCTAATTTGGAGTCTGAGAGATGTCCAAATACTCCAGCACCTGAAAACAATTAATTTAAAAGTGTTATTCAAAAATTCTGACATCTTAAATTTTGTCATATCAAGTACCACCACCATCTCCACGACAAAGTGAGAATATCTTGTTCGTTTTCCCATTAAAATTTTCAAACTCGGAGCTCTGAGCAGTAACTGTAAACACAGCAAAGTATTTACCAATCTACATTCTGTATTGTGCCACATTGAAAGATCTTAAATAGAGAAGTTAATTTTTCAAATCAAAGGGAGTTACCCTTCCGTTATTTGTTTGACCGAATAAGAACATTAGGATTTTAGATTATGCCAAAAATAAATCCAAACTTGAGATCTTAAACCCTTCCGATTCCTTTGTATGACTGAATAAGAAAATTAGTATTTTAGCACATGCCAAAAATAATTCCAAACTTGAGAGATAATCACGCGATAATATTTCTATTAAATTATATGAATATATAATCTTCTATTTCAATTTATATGAAATATTTCGCTTATTGAGAATTAAACTTTGTGAAGTTTGACCAATATTTTAAAAATATTTTTTTATCATATCTTCATGAGAGAAATTGCAACTAATATTGTAGTACTTTTCGTATAGTTTTTGCATATCTAAATTTTAATTTTAAAATATTGAGTTGAACTAATATAATTTAACTTCAAAATTTAATTAAATTGACTCAAAATATATCATTTAAATTGAAACAAGGGAGTAATAAAGTAATTTTGTTTAAAAAAGGTGACATAAAATAGCATATAAAGATTAATTTCTTTTGGCGAACATGGGTAGCATAAACTTCTTAATTAGGTAATGTTCTTAAGAACTGAAAAACCCTATTATAAGGAGTAGCACGAGTAATACTTTTGAAGAAATATGGTATTCGGTGCTGCATCATACTACAATATTCTTTCAGTGGTGAGACGTTGATCTAACACGTGTCATATGCATGGAAAAATAAACAACGTGTCATACGAAGTGACAAATAAGCTTAATATAAATGTCAAAAGAAGTAGATCCTCCTTATGATAAGGGTGCTCTGGGTCCCAGTATAACAACATTTGCTCGTACTCCGTATTCCAATTATTGCAAGATCCTGGCCAAGAGAAACTAGACAATATTAACCTATCTGGTCCATATCCTACTTAGTACCCCTAATATATTAAACACTATATACACCTTTCCCTTTGTTCGCCTTCTTTTTATTGTTTTTATTTTAGGTGAGTTATCGAAAATAAAGCAGCCTGTTCCAATTTCCAATAGCACACAAGGGAGACTAGAATATCCGAATCGGGGTAGCATATTCTCAACTTTCAATTTAGGCGGGTGTGTGGAAAGTAAGAATGGGGTTTTTCTAATACAGGAGTAAAAGTATATTCTATTCTCATTAGTATCTTCCTTTTCTTTGGATAAGATTTAAAAGGTGGCATAAACCCGGAAAACAAATAAGACTAATACATATAAGAGACTCCTATAGAGTTATGAAGCAATTAAGAACTAAGTCATAAGGAGGTTTAGCAGGGAATTGGACATCAAGGTCCAAAGAGTAATCGAAGTGAGACAAAAAATCTGTTGAGAAATTTGCTTCTTATTAAGATGAGAGACTAAAATTTAATCAAATATTCAAGACTTAATTCTATCCCCGATTTCATTTTCTTAATTTGCCCCGAAATACGGGTTTGGTTCAACGGTATTCCCTGACGTTCTTTCTATTATTCTACTTTTTGGTCTGAGGTGACGTTAGGAGTGTCAATTGATATTTAAAAATCGATTAAATCGACTGAATCGTAACGCACCGAATTGATTTTTAGGTTTCTTTTAATAAAATCGTAGGTTTTTATATAAATCTATAACCGTACCGATAATTATGATAGATTTATTATTTTATGAAAATACATCGAAAAAATATCGAACCATACCGAATAAATTTACATGAAAAAATATATTTATATATTAAATTTAAAATAAGAAAGTATAAATTTTTCCTTGAGCCTTGGAATTATGAAACGGTTACAAGCCAGCAAGTAATTAAACTTAAAATCCTAATTTTCAAACTTATTATACAACTCCTACTGAAACTAAATTATTTACAGCATATTCACTAGCAAGACATAAGATATTCTAGCGATTATGAGTAGCAAACTATAATGTATTGAATATGTTTCCTTTCGTAGAATTAAATTTATATTTTCGAATATTTAATCTTCTATAGACTTTATTCTTGAGTCTCATCTTGCTTAATATTTTTTCACTTGTGTGATTTATATTTTCTTTGTCTTTGTTTAATTATTTTTTACGCTGCTATAGAATAGTTGATGGGTCTATACTCTGACCATCTTTCATGTTTTCTTGATTCATCACCCTTTAAATAGTAAAAATTTCTAGAAAGTTTTACTAAATCCTATAAAAGTATGTATGTTATTGCATTCTGCTTCTACTAGTGACTTTTAAATGACATCTAAAAAAATACCGAAAATTAACCGAACCGTACCGATACCGAAGAGAAACCGACGTGATTGGTACGGTTTCTGAAAGTCTAATTTTGGTTATACATCATAGAATAACCGAAAAATTGGTATGGTACAAATTTTATAAAATAACCGGCCGAACCGAACCATTGACACCCCTATATGTCGTCTATCTTCGTCGCTTGTGTCCCATTCAATTAAGCTCGACATACTTGATGTTAATCATTAACAATTCGTGATCAACCAAATTTGGACGCAATCTTTTCCTACTTATATTTTTTATGATTAAAAAAGAAAAGAACAAAAAGCAAAGAAGAAGGATGTGGTGTTGTCAACTTTGTACGAACTGATAAAAGAAACAACAAAATTGTCAGGATAGAGATACTTGTGGTGAATAGGGATGTTTCAGCCGAGAAAAAAAAGGTCATCTCTGTGAAAGCTGCACGCGCACTAGTTCTCTAAAGATTATATATAAAGTGGCTACGCCCGGATAATACATTGAAAAAGCATATACCGAGAAACATTGTCCACAAGTTGAACGACATATGTTTTCCATCCCCGTTTAAACTTTTACTTACGGATAATGTAAAATAGATTTAACTTATCGTGGCAAATACTTGTGTTATTTACTTGTATTATTTTTAATTTCATTTATATGAACAACTTTTTAATATATTGTACTCCTACTTATCAAATAATCTAATTGTATAAAAAAAATATCACTATAAATGTTTATAAACTAGTATTTAATATATAAGTTAACTGTCCACCCGCAGAATAAGAATAAGGTATTAATACGTGTTTTTTCACCAACTATCAATGCAATTTCAGAATATTGCAGCTCCTCGGAATTGAAGACCCCAATTTAGTTGAAACTCATGATATACTATTGCTACTACTTAGGACGCAACTTTACATAAACCATTCCATCCATAAAATACTCAGCTAATGACTTCTACACCTATTGACAAATGTACCTCATGACTCGTGAGCTAAAGTTTCTAAAGATGGACAGATGGTGTTATGTTGTTTTAAGCGTAAAAGGTCACAAGGAAAAGCATTTATGTTTATCCTCCTCCATTCAAAATAATTGAAGACACTAATTTCTATATTTCTTCTTAATTCAGAAAAAATAGGAAAAGAAAAAGGGATAATAAGGAACATACCGATCATGCAGCCAGCGAAAAATAAGGCTTGGACAAGACCAACTCTGTATTTCTGTCCACATATCAATCCAAACTCCGATACCGTAGAACTTCCAATTCCACCGAACCATTCCCAAGACCCTGGCTCAAGGTCGCACACACTTTTAGCCGTTGAACCGCACCC